CCCAAGACAGTTTAGCAAAAGAGGTGGGTGTGTCTCGCTCGGTGATCTTCGATCTGTTGTTCCTCTCCAAACCGATCTGGAGAGCATATCATCTTAAAGGTGTGGATAGTACAATGTTGCACTTATTTCGTCCCGGAGGAAGTAAAAGTTAAGTCTGTGCGGCTTTTACGGCCCGTAAATTACGGGAATCTGATCAGTCATATTGATTTGAAGAACGAACGAGATCACGTGTAGGTATTAATGCCGGGCCCTCCTTTATTTCGGATATTCTCTACATAGTTCCCCGATGTAAAGCTTATACATGATTCGGGAAATTAGGATATTCTCCCGAATTGGGGCAGAAAGGTGATCTTCTACTGAGACTCCAGCGTAGTCCAGATACTAATATATTCCGATATGATACTTGGGATTGTTTAGAGTACTTTGGGATATATAGAAGTCTTATTTGTATATCGTACTTAGTTATGTTTTCACAAAATGGATGTGCCAAAAAAAAGAGTCATCGAGTCTGTACAGCTCGGCCTTCTATTTTCCTAGAAGACTAGAAGTCTAAGCTACCACAGTTATACGATCAGTAGAATGTTCGTCTGTCGGATTTTGTTTTGTGGTTGCTATAAGCAAAGAGTCCGATTTGTTGTCAGTCGAGGTCATCCCTTATGAATAAGAATCGACGTTAGAGGAACTTTGGATCCGGGAACAACCTCAAGGTTTTGGAACAAAGAGAAGGGTAAACTTCTTCGCTCCAAATTATGGGAGTAGACAATCTGCCGGGATACCTTGTGGGCCCGGCAGTCAAAGTGCAAAGCCTAAGCGTAAGGGGGCAAAGTCCGTGTTGAAATGAAGTTTGAGGAGTGAGGCAACGTTTGGTAACACTCGATGTGTAACTTATCAAACGAGAGCGCATCCTACAGAGTATGATCTGCCTGGTGCGCAGCTAACAAAATAACTCACGTACAAAAAAAAACTGCGCTTCAAAAGGTTTGCGCAGAGAATATTTCATTTCTACTTGTTGCGGTGATGGCGACCACCCACGTAGATAATCTTTCATATTTATCAGCAGAAGAGAATGAAACACATGCCCCCTGTATTCAATTGAGACAACTACAACTTATACAACTGATGTTACAACATGTAGTCACGGTTCGCCCACTCCTTCTCTATATGTCTCGCACCGCGATCATCATTGTTGAATTTGCCCTTATGTTTAGGCTTCGTATTTTGACAACCGGGTCTACGTGTATGCTCAAGCGGATCAACGTCATCCTTCGTTATTCCACTACATGTAAACTTAAATATCGGAACCTACCGATAATCTATCCGTAATTATTATTCAGATTATCGTTGTACCAGTGGTGGTGCTCTTTATCTTACTATCGTCACTACATGCACATGTACTTGCACAAATTTTATCTGCACGATAATTTGTATCCTGAGAAAAAAAAAGTATCAGATAGAACGCCGTATACCAGTAAGCCTATGTCCTAGGCCTGAGTGTAGCACAGGCTACGCATCCATATACAATGTAAGTACCAGCTAGCCCCAGATACGAGTTGCAGTTGTGTGAAACGGATCGTCTACGGCTGCGTCTGAGTATCGGCAATGCTGTTGACAAGTAGATGTGCATAACAACAATGCTATCTAGTAGATTCTACAGGAACGGCGTGTATCGCACAACTGTGATCACACTATAAGTTCATAACGACAGCGATGTTGACACGAACGGCGTCCAACCAAAGGACTGAACGCCCAGAAACGCCTCCGGCGCCAACTAGAGTAGCAAGTACGTGCAGCAGACTCGCTTTACCTTTTGACAGGAGATACACCTCGGCATACCTGTAGGGAGCTTCGGCAACTCCCCCTTCCGTATCTTCATTCTGCAGCCACTACACCGAGTGGCAGTATCGCTTTTTTATATTTCTACGTTATCTTAAAATATCACATATACTTAGGTTCACGTAGAGAATCCTACAATGAGTACAATTCGGGGCTACTTTGCTCTTATAAGTAGTTTCTGCTCTAGCGAACCATTGCACTGCTAAAACACAGCGATGCATCCATGTATACCACAGCATGGTTTTTTTTCTTCGACGGAATTGTATTACTGCTATTAGTACTTGTTGGACATTGATGTAAAAGCCAGCCTACGTGCAGGCGACCGGAAGCCAGACCCCCATGGATTTTATGGAAGTGTCGAGTCGACATTATTGAAGAATCCAGCTAAAACTCCTCAAATATACTTTCACTCTTTCCTTCTCGCGCACAAGTGCCCAGAACAACAGGTTATGAGCCCAATGGGCAACGGCTCAGACGCAGACGCTGCTACGGAGGCAGTCCCCGCCTCCCCCATCGCCCACGAAAGGGGCGAAGAGCTAGAAGAGGAGAAGGTCACCCTGGACCCCGGCGCGCTCGCGGCCCTCATAACCAAGCTCACGGCCAAGGTGGAAAGCTTGGAGAGGTCGCTCGAGACGCACCAGCAACAAGCGGCCGTTACGCCGCCCGGCACGGGGGCAGTCTTCGGGCAGAGCGTGTACCGGCAGGCGCTACAGCATGGCGGCAGCCTGGGTATGCAACGCATGCAGATGCATGAGCTCGGCGCTTCGAACTTCGGTATGGGTATGCAGACGCCTGGTGTGTACGGTGGTCTCGGTGCTGGGCAGCAGCCAGGAGGCACGCCATTCCAGGCTCAAGGAGCAGTGCCGCCGCCGCCACAGTATCCGCCGCAACAACAACCAGCTGCGCAGTATCAAGCGCATCGGCCGCCGCCGCTGCACATCAACGAGAGGGTGCCGCCGGCCAAGGACGCCAAGATCTACATGCGCAACTTCGACGGCTCTGAAGTCTACAAGGGACTCGGAAGCGGCTTTGAGCAGTGGGCTTTACTGTTCATTGAGCAGATCGAGATGGCGGAGCAGGCGTGCGGGTACACCTGGTCTGAGCGGTACAAGGTGAACAAGTTCGGCCAGCACTTGCGCGGGAAAGCCGAGTTCTTCTACCAGCAACACATCATGCGCTGGTGGGCCACGCAACCGACACTTTGGTTCGTGATGGAGCAGATGCACATGTCGTTCAAGAGGACGCTCTCGACGCAGCAGGGAATGAAGCTGTTCGGAGCCAAGAAGGACCCGTCGCGATCGTGGAACGAGCACTTCTTGTACTTGAATGCTCTCATGATGGCAACGAACGCTTCACCTACGCTCGTGCTGGAGAACATTGTCAAGTACGCGGACCCGGAGTTGAGACACGCGCTAATGGCCAAGTGTGACATCACGCGACCGGATGCCCTCCAACAAGCGAATGAGCTGGCGGTTTGGGCGCAGATGATGTCCGATGAAGACCGAGCTCCAAAGCATATTGGCAAGGAGGTTGTGAATGCGGTGGCTGAGACTCAGCAAGAAACTCGGCGATGCCACAAGTGCAAGCAGGTTGGACACCTAAAGAAGAACTGCCAGGAACGTCTGGCCGGAGATGGCAAGAACAAGGCAGTTAGATTTGCGCTTGCGGCGAGCAGCGGGACTTCGTCCGTGGACGCCAATAGCTGGATACTGGACAGTGGAGCTAGTCGGCATCTCGTCAACGACCCCTCGCTGTTGGCCAATGCAGTGGAGTGTTCTGATGAAGACATCTGCAAGCTGCCGGACGGTCGGACGATGGATGTCTCCAAGAAAGGAACGGTGGTCTTGAGAGCAATGGTCAATGGCGTCGCCACTGAGGTGGAGCTTAGTGACGTGTACTACGCACCAAAGCTCGCGCAGAACCTGATCTCGTACGGCCGACTGATGACCAAGGGTTGTTCTCTCCTCAAGCGCAACGGAAAACTGGCGTTGATGAAGGACGACGACGTGGTGTTCTACGTTGACGTAAAGCACAACGTGCTCGTGGCCAGACTCGAGTCGGTAGTCGCGAACAGTACCGGAATGGAGGAGCTGATCATGAATGTGGTGGATGCGAGTACAGACGCAGTCTCGCCAGCCGTCACTACGGATACGTTGATGGGCTTCCACGCACGCTTCGGACACCTGGCGCTGGACACCATCGAGCGCATGGCGAAGGACCCCGCATCTGGCATCAAGATTTCTAATCGAGAGCGGAAGCCGTGCTTGGTGTGCGCCGAGGGCAAGCAAACTCGGGCGAGACAGCCGACTAAGGATACGGGCAGGCACGCACCGATCGACAAAGTCGGAGGAGTCATTTGCAGTGACCTGAAAGGCCCAATGACACCGCTCGACCGCCAAGGCAACCGATACATGGTAAACTTCGTGGATCACAAGTCGAACTACTGCAGGGTGTTTATGGCAAAGAAGAAGAACCAGGCTGCAACGAAGTTTGAGGACTTTCTAGTCGAGTTCGAGAAGCGGTTCGGATGTCGCGTACACGTTCTTCGCACGGACGGAGGAGGAGAGTACCGTAACGTGGACCTCTTTTGTAAAGAGAACGGAGTGGCTCGTCAGGTGTCTGAAGTCGGGAACCAAGCTGCAAACGGCAAGGCGGAGCGGATGCATCGCACAATCCTCAACATGGCTCGCTGCATGGTTTTTGGCGCAGAACTACCACTCAGTTTCTGGGGAGACGCGGCCGAGTACGCCGCTTACGTGCTAAACCGAAGCTCGTCTCGTGCCAATGAGGATCGGAAGTCCCCATTTGAGGTGTTGACTGGGCAAGCGCCCGACCTCCGCGACATCGTCGTGTTTGGATCCAAGTGCACAGTGTTCCGCGACCCTGGGAAGCGCGCCATGAAGAAACGTGCGTGCGAGGGCGTTATCATAGGCAAGGACGAGTCGACCAAAGGGTACAAGGTGTACCTACCTTCGGAGAAGAAGGTGATCGTCACGCGCCACGTGCAGAACATCCGCACATTGGAGGAGAAACCAAACGGGAAGACACCAACTGCCCAAGCGTCCACGCCGACAACTCAACCGGCAGCAAGTACCGCACCCCGTAGATCTCGTCGGGCACGTCGCAAGCCACGTCGCCGTGCTGAGGCCGATGGAGAAGTTGACGTGGGCGAGTCGAGACTTGCTACTGAGTCTGTCGCACTGACTGTCTCCGAAGCCGACGACACTAACTCGCATGCGGACGACCCAGAGCCGAAGAACTTCAGGCAGGCGCGGAAATGTGCCGAGAGTGCGCTTTGGGCTGCAGCTGAGCAGGAAGAACTCGCTGCCCTACAAGCGAATAACACGTGGAAGCTGGTCAAATGTGAACCTGGAGCCGTGCGCTTGCATACCAAGTGGGTGTACAAGAAGAACCGAACGGGCACGGGAGCGATCCAGCGTTACAAGGCTCGTCTAGTCGCCTGTGGCAATGAACAAAAGTTCGGCGTCAACTTCTTCCTCGTGTTTGCGGCTGTGATCACGATGACTGGAGTCAAGTTCATCTTCGTCATAGCGTTCGTGTGGAAGGTACCGGCCAGGCATGGCGATGTTCCAAACGCGTACGTAAAGGCTACAACGGAGGAGGGCGTCGCGATATTGTTGTTCGTCCCGGATGGACTCATCATCACTGAGGAGGAGCTACTGGCGCTGGGAGCTGAGAGCGTTGATGAAGTTGGACTACTACTCGGTCAGAGCCTGTACGGATTGAAGCAGGCTGGACGTCTTTGGCATGAGCACCTGCATCGCGTACTTGTCAAGATTGGGTTCACGCAGTGTGTTACGGACGCGTGCTTGTACTTCAAGGCCGACAGCGGTGGAATGACGGTCGTCGGGACATACGTGGACGACTTACTGGTCACTGGCACGGACGAAAGCAGGGTTTCGAAGTTCTTCGATGACATGGCTGTCCTGGAGCTCAAGGACCTCGGAGTCGCCAGCAACTTCCTTGGAATGCGCGTGCAGTATGACGAACACAGCGGTTATAAGTTTGACCAAGAAGCTGCGATTGTGGAGATGCTCACCAAGTTTGGGTTGGAGAAAGCGAATACAGTGCGAGCACCGATCGGAGGAGAGGCTCCGGCAGAAGCCGACATGGCGATATTGCTTCCACTCGGGACTAAGGAGCTGGCAACGACGGAGCCGACGGTTACCAGTTTCCAGTCACTAGTGGGCAGTCTGCTGTGGATCGCGAGGTGCACACGCCCGGACATTATGTTTGCTGTGCATTGTGCAACCCGACGGACTCATGCGCCAACAATGGCTGACTGGAAGTTGGCTAAGCGTATCGCCAGGTACTTGAGTGGCACCAGGTCGCACAAGCTGAGCATGCCAGGTGACGACAAGGCCAGGGAACGCCCGCTACGACTGTGTTCTTACACAGATGCCGACTTTGCGGCCGACAAGGATGACCGGAAGTCTGTGAGCGCGGCGATCGTTCAAGTGAACGGGATGACGGTGTCGTGGCAGTGCAAGAAGCAGAATTCGGTGGCGCTGTCTACAACCGAGGCTGAGTACGTCGCTGCGACGGTCGGCGGACAAGAACTGCTTGGACTGAAGGAACTACTGAGCGAGATGGACATCGAAGTCAAGCTACCCATGGACATGCTGATGGACAATCAGGCGGCTATCGTGCAAGTGCAGAGTGAAACCAGCTCGGCCAAGGCGAAGCACGTGGACGTAAAGCTCAAGTTTATCCAGGACTTTGCCAAGAAGGGCATTGTGTTGCCAGAGTACGTCGCTAGCGAAGAAATGCTCGCGGACTTGCTGACGAAAGCGCTGCCGGCACCACGGATCAAGGAGCTAAGGGAGAAGATCGGACTTGTCGACGTCGAGTGATCCAGGAACCCTGAGGCTCTGGGGAGGAGTGTTGGACATTGATGTAAAAGCCAGCCTACGTGCAGGCGACCGGAAGCCAGACCCCCATGGATTTTATGGAAGTGTCGAGTCGACATTATTGAAGAATCCAGCTAAAACTCCTCAAATATACTTTCACTCTTTCCTTCTCGCGCACAAGTGCCCAGAACAACAGTACTATGAATGGGGCTAGCGAAAGAAGACAACTCATGTTGGGGGCAGACAAATTTACATGTTAGCCACAAGTGAAAATACGATCTACTTGAAGTACATCTTTATTTTGTAGATCCAATTGCGGGTAAATAAAAGGAAGCGACCAACCACGAACAAATATTGTTTTACGAGAGCAAGCCCTTACAATGCAGAACCACAAAGGAATTATCACTCCATCTTAATCGGCATTGCAATGCACGTGGTGTAGTGTTGTAAGTGCCAACGCGCCGACGCCGATCCCAAACATGAGGAGGTTAACCAAAAACTGGCCGACCGACTTGACACGTAGAACCCCGGGTAGCAGGTCAGTGCCTGCAATGTACACAAGCGTTCCCTATTCACAAAAATATATAAGTAAAAACCACATTTCAGCCAGAAAAATAACAACATACCGAGCCAACAGCGAGTAGAAGTCCCATAGTCTCGTTCGTGACGGGCACAGCAGCGAGTACGACGATCGCTCCGATGAAAGCCGACAGCGCGCTAAGGAAGTTGAAGAGTACGGCTTGGAACGGTGTGAAACCGGACTCAACGAGGATGATAAAGTCAGCGAATTCTTGCGGTAACTCGTGCAGAATGGCCGAGACCGTGACGGACACGCCAAGCGAGTCATCACAGGCGAGGAAGGCGGTGGCGATTAAAACACCGTCCACGAAGTTGTGGAACAGGTCGCCTAGCAAGATAATGTACGCCATCGGCTTGATAGTATGCCAGTCGACTTTGAGACTGAACGTTGATGCACTCAGCATCTTGCTGCGTGACAGAGTAGGCGTGCTTTCCGCGTTGTAGTCACCAGTCTCAGGTGTTCCTGACTGTTTGCCAGCATCAGACAGCGCGTTGACTGGAGAGCTGAGGGTCGGGAGGTGAGCGTGCGTGTGAGACTCTCCCCCTACAATACTGACCCAGAGTTCCAGTGCCATCTCGACGACCATCGCGACGACGAAGCCGACCGTGAACATCATACTTAACGTGAGGTCCATCTGGCCGTATTCACTGTAGAACTCGATAGATTCCGGCAATACATGCAGGAAAGCGGCACCGAATAATGCGCCGGCTGAGAGAGCGATCATCGCATCCATGACCTTGGTAAGGACGTTGATACGGAGAATCAACAAGAGGATCCCAACAATCGACAGCACAGCTACGATCGCCACGGCGGCCATCGTCTTGACCCATACAGACGTTGAAGCACTCCGGGCAGCAGACGTTCCTTCATCTTCTTCTTCGCCTGCCATGGTTAATACTATTCCGACTTCTTGTCCTTCTGCGTCGAGCACTTGCATGCCAAACTCCTCGATCGCATTGTGCTGCATGTGGAACGCGTAGTATCCAGCTTCATCGACGACCAAGTTGACCGTCATAGGCTCCGACGCCAGCCGCCGGCCATGGCCGTCTGCGCCGTCGCAGTGGTCGATATGCCACGTATTGTTCGGGTTCGCCTCGCACTCGGCTTGAAGCGCTGCGAGCTCCTCGGCATTGTTACGCTGCACCACATAGAGCAACTGATCGGTCGGTGCCATGTCACGCGACGCCTTGACAACGTTGCGAGGCAGCGTCACGTCTTCCAGGAGACTTGTGGACTTGTCCACGGACGCCTCCAGATCTTCCTGAGTGACGGTATCGGTCACTGAAATGTTCAGCGGCAACACAAACATTGCCATGTTCTCCGTGTTATTCGCAAAGGAGACCGTGTACGTTCCGTTCTCCAGTGCCATTGCCATTGACAGCTCCCACGAGACGCCCCCAGCCGGGCACGAAGCTGTCGTTCCGGCCGTAGCGATACATTCGACACCTTGACTCTCGTATCCTTGTTCGCAGTGGCAATGGTTCCCATGGAGTTCACCGTGGCCACTGCATACGTCTTGTGCCGTAGCAGGCAACAAGATAGCCAACGTGAATGCAATGAGGGCACGGAACAAGGGAGGCATCTTGGATAGGGAAACTGGAAATGACTGATCGCTGGCAAGGTACATGTTCGCACGAAGTCCGTAGGACTAGAGTATCTGAGACTTTTTGTCCGACGGCGGTAACACACCCACACTGGAGTCCAGTCTGGACTCCAGTGCTGGAGGCCAGCGAGTCCACTGGACGTGAATGCACATCCGACGGCGGGAGATTAGAGATTAAAGTAGGTTAATCAAGTTGAACTGGTGACATCATGTCACTAACACTGTACCACGTTTGTCCGACGACGGTGGTCGAACAGCGAGTTCACCTTCGTTCGCGTATCCACCAAAGTGGCGGCCATTTCGTTGGGATTTGGTTTTATCATTTTCCAATTTTCCACCAAGTTCAGTCTTCACTCTCTATAAAATGAATCCGCTCGCCGTCGCTACGATCGCTCTGGCTACTGTCGCCACTGCTGTGGCTCAAGACTCGCACTCACACTCGCACTCTTCGGAGTGCACGGCCGAGGCCATTACGTCGGCGAGAAACGCATGCGACTCGGTCGCCGACGTCTCGCAGCTGAAATGTGACAACGAAGCGTGTCATGAGGCTCTCCACTCGCTCGTAGAGGACGAAGTGCGCCAGTGCTACGTCGACCTGGGCCTCGGCCCGGTCACTGATCTGGATTACTACGTTCTGCTCGATGAATTCTGCCACGGGGACGGCGCCGATCCGGCCGACTTGGCGGCGACGGGCTCCACTGCTGCTACCAACTCGACCAGCTCCGGTACTGGCGGCACATCTGTGGGCGACCATGACCATGATCACGATCACAGCCACGACCACGATCACAGCCACGACCACGATCACAGTCACGACCACGATCACAGCCACGACCACGATGAGTCCGCCTCGGCATCCGCTTCTAGCTCGTCAGCTTCGACTGTCGCTCAATCGCTAATGGCTCTGCAGCTGGTGGCCGTTGCCGCTGTGACGTTGCTCGTGTAAGAACCTCGAGCAGATAACTTGCCTACCCGTTCGAGTGGGCATCGGCAACTATGAGTTTAATATAACATTTTGAGACGTCTTGATCCCACGTAATACTACGTAGTAGAATTCTTGATACTGCTACAAAAAGTCTAAATACTACATTACAAGTTCATGTGCTCAGTACTACTCTACAGCAGTGTGAATAGTATTAGTACTACTACAAGAAGTACTTTACTACGTAAACTAGATTTTAATACTGTAATAGGCCGCTTTTGCACTGTACATCATTCTCACACACTATTATGTGTTCATTTTACACTTGCCCTCTCAACCAAGCATATCGGAGACCATGTACGCTGGTGTGGACAAGTATGGCGGTGCACTTGTAGGCGAGGGTCAACCTGACGGTAGTGCATCGAACACGACAACTCATTCCTCTGGATTATCACTCGAAGATGCGATCGAGACTGCCGCCGCAGAAGAGACCGTGGTAGTGGACGTGTCCTATTCGTATTTGGAGGACGAAGATGACCCAAATTCCGTGGTCTCCGGTGTGTCCAAGGTACTTCTGTCCGCTCAATTGAACCCCGAAGCCGGTGGACTTATGTGGGTCGAACAAAACAGTCCGCAAGAGGCCTACAAGAACGTTGTAGCCATGTCTCAAATGACGTCCATGCTGCGGGATAAGGACCGCAACGACTGCTACGACCGCGGCATCAAGCGCGCCATCGCCAAGTTTAAAACCGAAAAGGGTCGTGCCCCGATAGTACTCGACATCGGGACTGGCACCGGATTACTATCGATGTTTGCAGCTACACACGGGGCCGAGCACGTGTACGCATGCGAGATGTTTGTGCCCATGGCCGAAATCGCCGAACAGGTTACGGCGGCCAACCATCCTGGCACGATAACGGTCTTCAAACTGCGTTCCACAGATTTAAAGGTCACACCGGATAAGATACAGGATAAGGATCCCAACACCGTATACCACCTCCCTCGACGTGCTGACATGCTAGTGTCGGAGCTCTTCGACTCCGTATTACTGGGCGAAGCGGTGCTGCCTACGATCCGTCATGCCATGCAGCATCTACTGACTCCAGACGCTGTTATTGTACCGGAAAGGGCCACCGTGTTCGCTCAGGTTATTGAGAGCGAGCCAGTCTTCCACTTCAACAGCTTCGAAGTACAGGATAAGACCACTGGTCCAAAGTTGGCTAGAAGTGACACGGCGTGGCAATGTGAAGGTGGCAAACCGGCACTGCCGGTGCATTTCCAATCGCTAGAGAACGACTCTACGTTTCTGACGAAGCCGACGAAAGTGCTAAGCTTCGATTTCACAAAGCCAACGACAGGCGCTGCAAAGTACCAGGAGACTATAGTCGATGTGGTTACGGCTGGAAAGGTACAAGCGGTACTCATGTGGTGGGAAGTGAGTTTCGATGAACACAACAGCGTCATGTACTCAACGAAGCCAGATGCTCAGAACTGGCAGGATCACTGGGTGCAGGTCGTTTTCCCACTAGTGGGGGGCATTCAGACACAGGTTAAGGACAAGCTTATGTTGCGTGCTCACCACGATGACATCCGTATCTGGTTCGACGTCGAATCTTTGCCAGCCAAAGACTCGCCTAAGAAAGCCAAGCGTACCGTGGTCAGTGAGAAGCCTCCGTGCACCTGTGGCCTGCATCTCATCTGTAACGCTGAGCGGATCTCAATGCTAACGGACACTGCACGACGTGAAGCTTACAACTCAGCCGTGGCTTCCGCAGTGGCTGAACTGACCAAAACAGAGCCTCTGCGTCCGATTGCGTGTCTGGACATCAGTGACGGATCTTTGGGAGCGCTTCTGGCTGCTTCACACAAGCAGGTCTCCAGCGTCACCTCCATCGAGTCCAAGGAGGTATCTGCGCGGATTTTCGACCAGATTTTGACGTATAATAACGCTAACGCCGAGGTTCTTAACAGCGGTGTTAAAGGGCTACTGCCTGAGCACCTGAAAGACGAACCATCGAGCGTGGATCTGCTGGTTGGTGAACCTTTCTACTACTCGATGCAGAATCTTCCGCTTTGGCAGGCATTCAACTTCTGGCTTCGACGATCAGCTGTGGATGGATTGTTGCACCCGAAGGCTCGTGTGTTGCCTGCTAGGGCGAGAGTGTTGGCGCAAGCTGTGCGATTCAAGCACTTGCACCAATGTTTTGGAGCAGTGGGAAATGTTTCAGGGTACAACCACAGTTGGTTCGACCAGTTTCAAGACGAGTACTACACCCGTAACTTTCCCTTTCCTGCGTATATGTACCCATACGAACAAGCCTCGGAGGTTGTCGAACTGGCAGCGATGGATTTCACGCAGACAGTGCACACGGTCGCTACGAAATCCTCGATTAAGGTTAAGGATCCTGCAGCGAATGCTGTGATTGTCTGGGTCGAATACGACTTGGATGGTGCAGGCAAGCACGTGGTGGCTACAGGCCCTGCTGTACGATACGCAAAGCAGCTCATCCGCTTCCTCCCGCCTGTGTCACATGCAGCTTCTGGTACTGCATCGAACCGTATGGTCGAGTCAAAATTCTGCTTCGACTCACTGGAAGGTACGATCGATCTCACCTTTGAAGCGAATTAGACAGACAATAAATGCGTATGTGTTCACCTATTTCCGTTTAAACTCGTCTCGTTGGTCTACTGATGAGTGAAGCACAGTCATGCTGACAATTGCGGCTTGCGAACGCCAACCACGGTACATATAGATTTTTGTTGCATTGCAGACTGCATTGCAGACTGCATTGCAGTGTGTGGAAAAACTTGGGATACCGTATTTGTATAGAAAGTACTACACGTCATAAATACCAGTATGTGCGGATTCCTAATTCTTCTAAAAAGACGTAAAAGTGATTTTTTTTAAATTCTTTTAATGCATAGATCATGAAAAAATTATAAAAATAGTATCTTTGCATAGGCAAATATTTATTTTGCGGATGACTTGTAGTCGCCAAAATCAATTGGTGATCGTCATTCTGATAGTGACAAAAGTCTGTGCGGATACGTGTTATTTAGCTTTCAACTGGGTTAGATAGGCCCTGTTGTATATTAAAAGACGCAGCTCGTTACGTACATTCGCGAGGTGCTTTTAGTTTGTCTGGAACGCAAGTGTGGTATTTGCTAGGATACTGACTTCACCGCGGTCGACCACACGCACATATTTTTCAGGAATGAATGCTATTGTTTTAGGCACCTTGCCCAAACCAGTTTACCGAAAAAAAGTCGAAATAGCACCAAGTTCAGCAGGACCCAAGGAGGACCACCCACCGGTGAGCCGAAAAAATCTCTACCGGTCGGAAGGACTATTTACCACATGGTGATGGCCGCCTAAAGCGACAGAATTGCCAAACAAGGTCAATAACAAGCTAACGGTTGATGCTGTGGCCAAAACGTTGCATTATATACAGCATAAATCCCACCTTGTGGTATACTTGGAGCAGCAGGATCTTGAACCTCTCAAAAAGTCACAAAATCTTTCGGTATAACTGGATGTTGTAGCAGTAGCTACAGAGCGCTGTCGTTGCTGGGATTGTGCCCAGCAACACCAACACTCGAGAACTTGTAACTACAGAGGCAGTTGTGAAACTGATAACCTCTCACCGAGCATGCATACGAAATGAGAGTGAATAGGGTATATTACCAAGAAGCTCAATACATCTTTACTTCTACATTTTCATTGGAGCGACACAACAAAGAATTCTTTAGCTGGGAAGTCGCGTCCAGTATGGAAGAACCTGACGAAGCGATGGTGCCAGTCTCCGTCGGCCGGATGCCCATCGCAGTCTACCCCCCCCCCCCTATGACCGAGCACGAACTGCGGCTGACGCAGGAGACGACTACCAGGACGGCGGTAATTCAGGGGAGCGAGGCGAGACGTCAAGTAGAAGCCCTGGCACATCATTCAGCGGCAGCACATCAAAGGGCTGCCGAGCAAATCGGCCAGGTGCAACGTCAGCAAGATCAACTTGCTGCACAGACTTCAGAGTACTTACAAGCACAGAACGACCGACAGACGGCTCTGATTGAACAGCAACAGGAGATGCGGCGTCAAATGGACGAGCATCACCAGTACCTGGAGGAACAGTACAAGGTGCTGAGAGAGGCGGAAAGGGCGGTTGGTATTCAAGGCCAGAGACTCAAGAGCTTGGCCGAGGCTGTCCAGCTTCACTTGCAGGCTCGGTTGGGTGCGTTCGCTCAAAGTGCAGCACAACCACCGGAAAATCGACCAACGAAACAGACTGCTGTCACTGTGGTAGCAGAAACGAACCTGCCTGTACCTCCAATCTATAGAGGAAGCTCTAAAAAAAAGAAAAAAGAGACTTTATGGATAGTTACGCGATATACACACGGCGCATCCAAGCGTTGAATCAAGGAACACAGGCCAAGTTTTTCGTGATGCCTCTCAGTGCTTGCATTGAGCAAGGCACGATGGTTCGGATTTGTGGTTTCGAGCTTTTCAAAGAGGAGAAGGACGTCACGGAGGCCGAGTGGAGAGATTACTTTTTGACCGCGCGTGTACCTAATAATACAACGTATAGGACTCTTGAAAAAGAGGTGAAAACTTTATGCATGGACATTGAGTTACAAGATGTTGAGTCCAGACTTTCTCGTTTGATGGCCGAATTTTACGAGATAATTGGCCGACTCAACATGGAAGACGTCGTTCAGACTGAGCCTAAAAAGGTCGTGGGATATTTGGTGGATGCACTACGCCCGCACCCGTTTAGGCTGCCGTAAAAGACCAATTGAGCCGCCAATGCCACAAATCGACCAAGTCGGATCTGGCTACGTTTCTGAAGTGGCTGAGAGGGGAATTGGAAGGATTTATGCGGTTCGAAGCTCATATAGCGGCGCCAACCCAGCCGAAGGGTGGGAATAAGCCAGCTCATCAGCTTAATCCAGGGAAACGAGGCTTCGGACGGTCTCAGGATGATAGTAAAGCTCAAAGAGCTGACGCTCACCAACAAAAGAAAAGTGACGAAAACTCCAAGCAGAAAAGTAGCCGAGTTAAATTGCCGAAGAAGTGTTTCATATGTGGTGATCCGACCCATGGAGTGTTTCAGTGTCCTGATATCGCAAGTCCATTGGAGGCTAAGGAGATTTACGAGGCAACTACTGGGAAGAATGTCCTAAAACCAATCTTAGCGGTGACTCCTGTAGATTCCAAACTGGCGACGCAGCCGTCGACAATTCCGTGTACTGTCATGGATATTTTGGAGACCGAAATCACCCCAGATAGTGCTGCAGAGGTTTCGATCGTCACTAAACACTACTAAAGAGACTAGTAGCTCAAGGAGCGTGGCTAAATAAAAAGGATGTCACTGGAAATGCAGCTGTGACGGGAGTGGGCGATAAACCAGTCCCGGTAAAGAGCAAAGTGCAGCTGGATCTACGGTTTTCGACACCCGGAGGCCCATTGGTTCTACGAAATGTTATCTTTTGGGTGACAGAGGGTAGCCTACCACCAGGTGTGGGTGATTTACTGTTGTCAAAGTGGGTAATGGAGAAACTAGGGTACAGTCCTGGAAAATAACTCGCTGCAGCACAACAAGTGAGGGCCGAATGGGATATGAATGACGTTGATGATTGTCCAAGTGGTGCTGTGGCTAGCGTTCTCGTGTATGCTGGTGCCATGGAGACTCCAGCAGCCACGGAAGAAGAACGAGTGCTGGGAGAAGAGGAAGATCGTACTTGTTTTCCTGAATTCGTGAGTGATAATGACACTGAGAGAGAGGAGGTATGGGCAATCCTCCTGGAAAAGGTGAACGAAGCTCGTCAGCTGAGTGAGACTGCTGACTTTGTGGAGGAGTTGGAGAACATTATAATGAAGTTCATTGATGTTTTCCGTATCTTGATTGGCCGCGATCCACCGGTGGATATGCCGCCCATGGAGGTGACTTTAAAGCCTAGTGCTGTTCCTACTAAGTGCAAAGCGCGCAGATACTCTCCGGTACACCGTGAATTCCTTAAGAAGCACGTTGAGGCACTAGTTGCAGCTGGATTATGCTATCGTGCTTTCTACTCAAAATTTTCGTGCGCGGTTCTTCAAATCAACGCGCAGCAAATCGCGCAAGCCTGTACAACTAAATAGTTCATGTGTTTAGAGAGTATATGTGTGTACCACACAGAGATGCTGCTGCAGAGAACACTCTAGTGCAATCTAGGTTGCACCCCGCCAGCAAACAGTTGAAGGCGGCAACATGGCTGTTGACGTTGGCCAGACTGACACTGCTGTTACAGCAGCTACCAGCAGCAACCAAGGCCGCGAAGCATCACGTTCGCACCAGACACCGCCAGCAAGTTGGCGTCACGGAGCCGTCCAAACGGCGCCAAGGTCAACGCCACCCCCGACGACTCGTGTGTCGCCATATCCGCTGCGCGAGCGAACGCCACCTCAACCGCTGTCACCGTCAGTAACACCGGCCCGTCGGCAAGCTCGAGTTTCGCTTGATTCTTTGCTAGCTGATGCAGCGCATCAGCATCGATCGCAGCTTGTGGTGCAGCCTCTCGTGAAAGACACCGTCGGAAGTCGGGACTCTTCAGCCAGAATGCTCGATGTTTTCGCTGCTAATGGAGTCACGTTTAGCGACATCATGCATAAAGTCTGGGAAGAATTTAGAGGTCGCGTGAAGGGACTAGCGATAAAGGAAAACGACACCTGGTCAATCGCTGAACCAACGGAAGCAGCATGGTACAAGGCGATGCATTTCAAGTGGAATGGACACCTTGTTCAATCGAGGCTCCTACCAGTGCCCTAACGGGTTCCTTAGTTTGTTTCTTCGCCCTCACAAGTCTTGTGATGGCGATGAGCGGCACCTAGTCGCCGTGAGGGAGCGCTTAATCAGCCTTGTTCGCTTTGGTCTGCAGCAAGCAGCCTGGGTGCAAATCATTTCCTCCAATCAGCTCACGCTGTTGATTTGATGTCGATTTGACGAACCCCGCAAAAACGGCAAATTTAGACGAAAAGCAGCATATCGGAACCCGAAAAGCAGGTGGTGTTCGCCTCCCCATGTCGTTAACAAGCCAGAGGCTGGAAGTCATCGCATGACTGTCGACGTGCGAGGTCCAAATGCCTGTGTCGAGCAAATTGTCTGGCCCATGCCGATATTGGAGGTGGTGTTCGAGCAACTTCGAGGCTCTTCAAGATACTTTTCGCTCGATTTCTTTAAGGGATTCTGGCAGTTTGCAATGGCAAAGTGGTGCCAGGAGATCTACTCAATTCTGACCGACGAAGGCGTAATCACACCGACCAGAGTGTTGATGGGCGAAACCAATAGTGTGGCCTACGTTCAGTCAACGGTACAGGAAATGTTTGCAGAGGTTTTCAATGACTTGATGATCTGGATTGATGATTTACTTAAATGCAGTGATAGTGATGAAGGATTGCTTGCATTACTGAAGAAGGTGTTAGCAATTTGTGCTGACAAGGGGCTCAAACTGAATCCAAAGAAGTGCAGCTTTTATCAACGAGAGGCTTTATGGTGTGGACGTGTCGTGTCTGGTGATGGCGTTCGAAATGATCCAACTCGGATCGAGGCTCTCACAAATCTTCCTCCGCCAACTATTGGTCAAGAGTTGCAGCAGTTTGTCTGTGCTCTGAATTGGATGCGATCTTCGCTACCTGCATTCAATAAATTGATCGATCCATTGACGAAGTGC